ATTTTTGATTACATTTTTCCAAAGATGCCATATACATAATACATGTTTACTATTTTGACCAAAAACATTTTGTATAGCTTAAGAAATTGCTTTATCTTCATCTGTAAGTATTACTTTTGGTGGATTATTATTAACCATTTTAAGAAATAATTTAAATGTTCATATAAAACTATTAATTGTTTTTGACACATTAAAGTTCCAGCAAAACATATACTTTAACCAAAATTGTTTACTCCTGTAAAAATTCCAAATGGCATATTAAATCGATTAACTTTGTATGTATTATCAAAAACAATTACATCTAAAAATCTACAATATTGTCATTTCTGTCCTGGATACATCCAAATTATTTGAAGTAATTCATTTGAACTTTCATCAACTTTGATTTCATATTCAAATCCATTAATTTCTCTTTTGAATTGCTTTAAAGTATTAATAAATTCATCTGCTTCAAAAAAACGACTATGTAATTTATTATCTAATTGATATATATAATTATAAATATCATTATAAATCCATATTTCCAATTCTTGATATTCTTGTTTAAGAATAGATTTTATAGTTGATACATTACAACCTGCTTGATGATAAATTTTAATTCGATCTTTAATTTCTTGTGGAATTATTCTTGATTATTTAAAAATTTTTTATGCTCAGGAATCATCATTTCATGATTATGTTCCAAATTTATAGCCAAAATATGCCAAAGACCGGTTTGTAAATTAAATGATGCTCTAATCATAAAAGAACAATTACATCTTTGAGAATGACGATCTCTTTGATGATTTTTTTCTTTTTTTTTGTTCAGCAACACCTGCGCGTGAACATAATATAATTCTTTTTTTAATATTATTATTTTTATCACGTTCTACTTTATCTTTTCGTATTTGAAAATTATAAAATTTGCAAAATTTTGAACTTGTGCTATAAAATCATCATGATTTATAAATGTATTTGAAGCTGTTAGTTCGGAAACACACATCTCTTCGGATTTCATATGAAAATGCAAGCGAGAGTTTATTGTTTGTTGTACAATATTAATTTTATTTACAAAGATAGTATAAATTATATAATTTTACACAATCAATTTTCATCCAATAAAATTCGTAAAAACTTATTGTACACCCCCAGCGCAGGTTAAACATCTACACCCCCAGCGCAGGTTAAACATCTACACCTCCGGTGTAGGTTAAGGATGCCCTATAATATTATTCACGTTGTCACGTGTCTGCGCATCATACGATGTATTTGTCAGGCTTTGCCTTTTGTAATCAGTAAATGACCATGAAATGACCTCAAATGCCTCAAAATGACATCATTTTATTATAAATTTCAAAGTCTAAATGACCTTATAATTTGCCATCACTGTACGTCCGAATCTCCATAATTTCGCACGTAAATTGCTTTTATAAATACAAGCCGGAAATCCTTAACATTCCACGCTCGCCCTTATTATATTTTGTATATACATACAGCTCAAACCTTTCTTTACCTTCGCGATATTTTTCGTTTTCGCCGTTTTTAACATTTTAAATTTCGTATTTGTAACTTCGTTATTTTTTTTTATTTTTTATTCATTTTCGTAATTGTATTTATTTAGTTTAATATATTTGGCATTGCGAAAGTGTAGAGCGCCGACGTTGAGGCAACACTGATTATTAAATAATTTCATCGTCAAGATTACTTCATTTTTACTAAATAATTACTCAATAAAAACCTTCTTCTGACATTACAAAATTACATAAACGAAATAACTGAATACAACTCAATTTAATCATTTACGATTTTTGTTCATTGACATGTGATTATCTTTTTGTAATTGTAAAACCTATTGGTATGGCACCTATTGTTACTCTTTTATAAATACAAGTTGGATGCATTTATTTTTAAGCAGATATTTCCAAGATGGGCAATACAACAAGTAAGGCTTTAGAAGAGCTAAAACATAGAAATGATCTCGAATATGAAGCTCGTAAACGGGAAATTGAACTACGCAGTCAGGAATCGAAGAATAATTATGACTTACAAATTCGGAAAGCCGATATGGAACATCAACACAAGATTGCTGAATTGATAACACAAATGAAACAAACAAAATTACAAGCTGGGAAAGAACTTCTGCTCTCCTATATGGATACAATGAAAATAATCATCCAACAGAATGGCAGCTGTCTTGATGCTGCCATCCCACTTTTACAACAACTCAATAATGACAAATTATCCGATTCCTTGAAGAAAGCAACTGAAAGGGCTATTAAAAAAATTTATGCTGTACTATTTTAATTATATTATTTTTTTTTTTTTGCTATTTCCTAAGTTACTTTGTCATATTAACAATCTATTGTTTTAGAGTTATATGACTACTGAAGAACTTTTGGATTACTCAAAAATTCAAATTAAAGAACTTCAGCTTAAACAAGACTATGAATTTACACGATTGCTAGATTTCGCGGTTGAAAAGGAAGTTATCACGAAAAAAAATAAAATATACCTTTTAGAAGGTGAAAACATATTTATTGGATATTTTAGTATCTCCACTATAATTCCTTCGAACTAACTTTGAATATATCGTTGAAAAATTCGTCAATTATGTAGACTGAGTATCATCAGAACACCCCGTATAAAAATTTTCAAATAAAGTTACGCCCACATTTCGGGCTAGTGATTTTTAACCAATGTATGTTACATGGCACCGCTAAATGCAATATAAATGTTGCTTTTAAAATGTGACAAAGCTTTCCCAAAATTTTAAGATGTATTTTCACAGCTTTATTGTGATATGGTGAAAGTGATCATTGTTCCAAACAGAATATCCTAATTGTAAATAAAGTTTGCTTGCGCAAGCATTGTAACATGCAATTTCAAATCCGTCTCGAAATGTCACCCGTCATATTAGAGTTTGGAACCGGTGCATTTTTGTAAACCGAATTTAAAACGGGTGCACCGATTTGACCCTTTTCTAATCGGTTTTTAAAAATCCGGTTGAAACCGAATTTCGCAACCGGTTTTATATTTGTTAATTATCAAATTTACTGGGTTGGGTTGCGGCTAATTATTTATGAGAGTTTATAAAATTTAATGAGACCATTTATTCATCACTTCTTTTAAGAAAAAGAGGGTCATCCCGTATTTTCACTGTTTATGTAAAAATATGCATGATTTTTTTTTTGTTAATAAATACATGGCGCAGCAACTTGGTCTTAACAAAAAATAAAAAGAAAAATTCGCCAGTCGCGAAATATATATTTGTTTGTTTATTTAATTATTTTCTGTGGATCTCATTTACTTAATTAATTAAATTAAATTAAATTAAATTTTTATTTAAAAGAAACAAATAAAGTAAAAAGAAACCAAATCAATCCATCACTTAAAAAAAAAAAATATGCAGTGAAAGTTCAATTTTTCTTTAAAAATAATTGAATAATATTTAATAAATTTTATTTATTATAGGATTGTATTGGGATCTTAAACCTTAAAAATATTAGCACAAGGTTCACTTTCTGGAAATATATGGGCTTAAGCTATTAAAATCATCTTACGGGATAAGAAATTGATTTTAAGTAAATGATGATTAAAAAAATGCTATGCCAATGTAAACATTTTCAATTAATAATAAATTGTTATATTTAAATTTTGAGTCAAATTAATTAATATGATACTAAAATTTATTATTTATAATTTTTACTATTTTATAATTTTTAAAATATTTTACTATTATAAAATATATAAATTTATTATTAAATTATTTTTTTTTTTTTTTTTTTTTTTTTTTTTAAATTCGGTTCTAGTGATCGGTCGCCCGAATATCCCGACTTTGCGGCTCATATGTCCGATATGTCATTGTATCCAGAAACAAGCCCCTCCTGGCTACTTTTAAAGCTGGTCTGAACCG